GCTCTGGGCCCCCTACCACGCCGTCAACGTCCTGCAGGTGCTCGCCGCGCTGGCTCCGCCCGAAGGGGCCTTGGCGAGGCTCGGCGGGGCGGGCCAGGCGGCGCGAGCTGGAACTACGGCTTTGGCCTTCTTCAGCTCCAGCGTCAACCCAGTGCTCTACGTCTTCACCGCCCGCGATTTGCTGCCCCGCGCGGGTCCCCGCTTCCTCATGCGGCTCTTTGAGGGCTCCGGAGAGGCCCGAGGGGGCGGCCTCTCTAGAGAGGGGACCATGGAGCTACGAGCTACCACTCGGCTCAAAGTGGCGGGGCAGGGCCGCGGCAATGGAGACCCCGGGGGCGGGGCGAAGGACAGTCAGGGATGAGACCCTTGACATCAAACCCTGCAACCGGGCATGCTCTTCCCTATCCCTTTCCATCGCCCCCCAGAACTCAGGGAACCCCTCTGGAGGGTTTGGGGATCCTTCTCTGACCAGTTTGGCTCTGGCTGGGGCAGAATTATTACATATCTCGGGCAGGCCCAAGTTCCTCCAGACTGAGGGATTGTGATGGTCTGGTCCGTGTTAAAGAATATCATGTACTTGCAAGTTGGTATGTGCCCAGGTGCCAAAGCTGTTTATTTGTTGCCGATAGCTACTGTGAAATACACCGGGCAGCCAATACATGATGGCTGAAGGGTGCTCCCCCTAGTGGTTCACCACACCCGAGTTGTACTGAGGCCATCTGTTTCCCTGCTGGGCCAGGCCAAGGCTGGGCATTGCCAGCTTTCAGTGGCATTTTGACCTGTCCTCTGCAGCCCAGGTGGCCTGGTTCCCCCAAGCTAACCCACAGAACCACTCTGGAAATAACGAGGGAAAGAGGAAGGAAAGGTATGGGTGCCTGGATGAGGAGTGGTGATAGGGTCCATTCTCTAGGGACTGTAAGAGCCGAGTCGGAGGAACTGGCTCTAGAAGGAGAAAGCCAACTGTGGGGTTTGAAAGGAAAGTCTTCCTGTCTGCCTAGTGGTTGGTACTGGGTGGGGGGTGGGGAGGGACCCTGGGAGTCTGAGACATAGCCTCTGAATCCAACTCTCCTCCCAAATGTCACCTGACTCAAAAAGGAGCCCAGGAGCAGGCACTCGCTCACCCAGGGGGCGTCTGGAGGTTGCAGATGAGGAGGATGGGGAATGGTGTGGATATCTGGAGGACAGGCAGGATTTTTCAGGGAGAGGACATCTCTCCTTCCTCCCCCTCTTCTCTCAGCCAGTTTTGACTCCTCCCAAGACTGCTAACTGTTCTTCACTTCCTCCAATACTGCTCAGCCCCCATCTTTTGGAATCTCTCTGTTTCTAAGTCTCCAGACTGTTCTGGATCCTGACATTCTTGTGTTTGGGGATGTAGGATGGGGTCCTTTTTCAGGGCATGTCCATGGACACACACATGTGGTCACTAGGGTGACCAACTCAACCCCATTTGCCTCAGACTTTTCCTGTTTTAGCAATGCAAGTTTCCTGTCCCAGTCCCCTCAGTCCCAGGCAAACTTAGATGGTTGGCCATCACCCCAGGTTCTGGGGTGGAGCTCTGGACTTCGGGAGCAGAGAGTATGCTTAGAATATCTAGTCTGGGGTGGAGGAGGAAAGGCCACTGAGAAGGATGGAGGTGGGGAGCAGCCTGGGAGAGGAGGCAGAGACAACCCAGTTCCTATTAGAAGGGGCCTCTGGTTGACCCTGGGGCTCTAAGCCCGAAGCTTTGATTCCCAAACACTGACTCAGGAGCCACTTCCTATCCTCATGCACCGGGGCAGAGGCTCCATGACTTCTATTACATAGTCCCCATCTCACACACCCTCTGCGGTCAGAAAGCCCTTCCTCATCTCTGCCTTCAGTTCTTACTGCGGTTTCAGCCCTTTTTGTTTGTTTGGTTTTTGTTATATCCTTTGCCTGAGAGCTGATGGGTCAACTCTGCTCTGCCTTTTTTCAAAGCAGGGAAAGTGGAGTTACTGCAAAGGGTAAGGGACCTCAATGACCACGATTACACTCTGTGTCTTTGCTGCGAAGTGGCATTGTTGGAAGGGAAGCAAGAAGGCAAATGGTCACAGTGAAGGAAAGACTTTTCAGTTCTTAGCTTCTATAGGAAAGTTCAAGAAGAGGAGACTGCCCTCCTTCCAGGGAGAGGGGAGAGTGAGACTTCTGGAGGCTGTTTCCCTTTCCACATTCCTGGTTTCCCTCTTGGAAGGGCAGGCATAAGGTATCACTGCCCCCACTCCCTCACACCTGCTCCCTCTGCTCAGCCTCTGCTTTCTCTGTGTGTCTAAGGTGGGACTGAACAGTCAGCTGTGGGAAGGTAGGAAAGAGGTGGTGATGACCTCTGGACCCAATGCCCAGATTTTACATCCAAATTAACATGGCAGGGTAGCCACATGGGCAAGTGCAAGGCAAGTGGTTGGGGAAGAAGAAGAAATTGTCTTTTCTTTTTTTTCAGTGGAGGTACTGGGGATTGAAACCAGGACCTTGTGCATGCTGAGCACGCACTCTACCACTAAGCTATACCCTGTCCCCCAAGATTGTCATTCTGTGTGATAACAGAGAGACCCTTTGGGCTTTGGCATCTACCAAGTAGAAGGGAGATGGACCTAGAATGGAATCAGTCCTTTTTTTTTTCTTTTGAGTAAAGGTAGATTTGTTTAGAGAGATACATACTACATAGAGTGTAGGCTGTTTCAAAAGCCAAGAGAAAGGCCATGAGATGAGGGGGTTGGGTGCTCAGGTTAAAGTAAAAGTAGACACATACTCCATAAACAGAGTGCGGGCCATCTCTGAAAACAAAGAAGCCAGAGAGGCTGTGGGGCACAGTGTTGCCAGTTTTTAATGGGCTCGATAGCTTCACATGCCAACAAATGGGAGGACCATTCCTACTATCCTGGGAAAGGGGCTGGGATTCCCAGGAACTGGGCCACCACTTATTCTTTGACCTTTTATGGGCAGCCTGGAAGCTGTCATGGCGCCTGTGGGAGTGTCGTTTACCATTGCTAATATTACAACGAGCATATAATGAAGCTCAAGGTCTACTGGAAGTCAAATCTCCCATCATCTTGATCCTCAAGACTTACTGGGAGTTGAGTCTTCCAACATGTTGGTGTTAACTGCTGTGTCATTCCTTGAATGGCTGTGCCCTGCCCCCTTCCCTCCTGTCTCATTTTCCCTTCAGAGATTTTACTCCTATAATCTTACGGGTGTGCAGAGGGGTGACAGTCTTTCTTCCAAAACTACTTCTGGGCTGAATAGGGGCATTGACCTTGCCTGTAAGGGAGTAAAAATCTCTTAATGCCTAATCTAGGGGCCCCAGGGGCAGGGCAGCCTTTTGTTTTTGCCTCAGATGGTGGTATGGCCTGGAATCCTCGCATAACCATCATGTGGGGCTGTTGTAACCCACTGTTTCCATAGCAATGAATCTTCTTAAAGATGAAGCACCTTTGTAACAACAGTTCAACTGTCTATGATGACAAAAGAATTAAAAGGCATGGAACCAGTCCTTTTAAGTGAGGGAAAGGATGGGGGGGTTCTGGAAGAGGGCCCTCCCCATGAAACCCCAGTCATGGCCTGAATCCAAGCCAAAAACAGACTGCTGTCCTCTATAAATCATGATGCCACTTAACCCAAACCCAGAACCTAGCTACAATATCAATGCACACTACTACTAATCAAAAGTCTGCATCGTTCACAGAATATAGAAAGATAACCGACATTCTGGCCTCTTAATCTGAGCCCATTTCCCCCCTCCCAGCTTCCTTCCTCACTTCTTCTGTATGACACAATTTATTCTTCTGTTCAGTTCTCCAGTCTAGACCTGCATCTGAGGCCACAACCCAGCCTACTCACTCCCCTCACCCATCTCTCCTCACTTACAGCCCCTTCCTGGGCTCTCCTCTTCTCATCCCACCCCTGAGGAGCCCTCCTCCCCACTGGGCTCTCCTGGGACACAAAGACTATCCCCTCCTCCTAATGAAGGGAGGTGGGTAGGAGTTTCAGCCCCACCCTCAGGAAGACGTGTCTTCTCCCTCCGGTACTCTGTGGTACTTCCTCTCTGGCTGACTTAGCTGATAGTACCCAGATCCCAGGCCAGGCCCCTGGCTCCGACAGATCTGAAGATAGGCTACACCGCTGTACCTTCACCCTGGGATTGGCACCTACTTTGAACCAGTGTCCCGAAAAGCCTGTATGTAAGTATCCTGGGAGTAGAGGAGGTGAGGGTGGGGTGGGCAGGGTGCAGCCATAAGAGAAGGTCCAAAGGAATTTCCAAAGAAAGGCTGACCAGTGGTAAAAGGACTTGGGAGGATTTATTCTTGTCTCCTAGCCATGAAATCTTCCCCCAACCCTCTTATTCTTGGTGGACCCTGGACATCTCTGGGGCGAGTGGGTAGGTGATTGGAGGAAGTCAGTGGGACTGAGGGGGCTAAGGGCCTGGCAGGAGAGAAAAGGAGCTAACCTTTTGAGGGATGCAGCATTGGTAAGGAAAGCCCCTCATTTGGTTCCTAAGGGAAGGAGGCTGAAAGGATCTAGAAATACTGCTTCCTCTGTTGCTGTTTATTTTGTAACTGAGTCTGTGGGCAGGAAGGGGCCCTGTGGCCCAGTTAGGAAATTAATCTTTCTACTCAGATCCCCTTGAGACAGGTCAGTTGGCAGTGAGGAGGGCAGTAAACTGCAGAAGTTCATCTGATGCTGCTGATCTTGGAGAAAGACTGAACAGGCTAGGGGGTGTCCAGGCTGTCAGGAAACCCTTGATCCCTTACCCTCATGTACATGTCCACCCTCACTCTCCAGGTCGTTGCAATGGCCACAAACATTACATCTTCTGCAGCACCCTCCTCGCCAGGTGTCATGTTCATCTCTCTACTGGCTATCATCTTACTGTCGGTGGCCCTGGCTGTGGGGCTTCCTGGCAACAGCTTTGTGGTGTGGAGCATCCTGGTAAAGATGCGGAAACGCTCTGTCACTGCCCTGCTGGTGCTGAACTTGGCTCTGGCCGATTTGGCCGTATTGCTTACTGGCCCCTTTTTCCTCCATTTTCTGACCCAAGGCACCTGGACTTTTGGACAGGCTGGCTGCCGCCTGCTCCACTATGTCTGCGGAGTCAGCATGTATGCCAGCGTCCTGCTTATAACGGCCATGAGTCTGGACCGCTCGCTGGCGGTGGCCCTCCCCTTTGTGTCCCAGAAGCTGCGCACCAAGGCGGTTGCCTGGAGGGTGCTGGTAGGCATCTGGGTGGTATCTGTTCTGCTGGCCACGCCCGTCATCGCGTACCGCCAGGTGAACCTGGCACCCAACAATAGGAGCCTTATATGCTTTCCGAAGTACCCCAGCGAAAGACACAGGGCCTTCCATCTGTTCTTCGAGGTCTTCACGGGCTTCCTGTTGCCCTTCCTGGCCATAGTGGCCAGCTACTCCGACATCGGGCGGCGGCTGCAGGCCCGGCGCTTCCGCCGCAGCCGCCGCACCGGCCGCCTGGTGGTGCTCATCATCCTGGCCTTCGCCGCCTTCTGGCTGCCCTACCACGTGGTGAACCTGGCCCAGGCGGTCCGCGCGGTGGCGGGCAAGGTCGTGGAGGACGGGCCCGTGGGGCGGCGGCTGCACCTGGCCCG